CTGTAAACTGTTTCTAAGTATAATGAAACTATATATGTTATTCTAATGATAATAATAGATGTTGACCTTCTATGCACTAATAGTATTGTGTATGGAACAAATAATTCTGTTAGTATGTTTCAAAGTCACTAGGTCATTCATACTAAACAATGAAGATTGTTTTTTAATATACTAAAGACTTTATAAATTTTCTCATACTTAAGGTAAATCTTGTTATGGTTAAGTTTAGGACACCATTGTGAGTTTTTGTGGTCGTGAATTTTAGGTTGAGTATTGTCAATGTAGATTTAACGAAAGGTGAATTTTCCCTTTCGCTAATTTCCTATTTCTCATAGTATTTTATGTCAGCGCTGATTACAGTAACATTAAGCTTATGATTCTTATATTTGTTTGTACTTTCACTGACTAAGATAATATGACTCAATCACGTAATAGTGTTTGAACATCACAATACCTATTATAGTGTTGTGTTGTTATCGATATATGATGTTTGACGTTGAAATAGTCAAATTAAAACTATCAGCTTTCTTAATTACTTTGAAAACGTGAAAATTTGTTTTAAGCGAAAAGTTAGCAGAAACGCTACTGCAATGGTATGGTCACAGGAAGACCCGCGGATCAAATGAACACGAAAGTTTTCAGTCTGGTATCAGCGCCGAAAAACTGTGATACACCCAGACTTTCATGGATTAAGACCATAAATTACGTCATCTGTGGCGAAGGTTGATTTGGATAACCGACCCCAATGAAGCAAACAGCTTGATTGTTCAGTAGCCAATGCGTTAAGTTTAAATGCAGAAATTCTGAGAGCCGGATGTTTTGTTAAGCCCTCCGAAGACGTCTGTATATGCAGTTTTTTACAACCACAACCAGCGCAGGGCACGCGTGAAGGGTTATGTTATGTTCCGTTTTCCGTTTTTAGAATCGTTTAACAGTGACAGTATCAATTGTTCCATTGATTCTCAAAACATAATAGAATCACGATCACGACGTTGTCGATATACTACCGTCACCGTCACAACACTATTTCACAATATGTCTCGACGTGATAATCATAAAGTGATTTGCTGTCAGATAACTTACCTACATTTTTGAAGTAATAAAAATAATGGTAAGTACATAGTAGTTTCTCATAGTTTATGTTTTCTTGTGATCTTTTGCGTAGAATTCGAATATCTATAGAACTATAAATTATAATACAATATTTTTTTGCTCATGCTGGATTTAACTATTTTGCACATACATTTATTATGCTATTAAAAGTTATTCCCAGTTGACAATTTTCGTTTCACTATTTATGTAAGGTATGAATTATTTCGGTTCTGCAGTAACTAAAAATATAAAATTAACAACAAATTGGACACAATTTAAAAAGTTTAAATAATATTAAAACAAACACACAATATAGTATAATAATACAATACTACAACTTTTTTAAATTATCGATACAATCTATTGTCCTCGTCGTATTAAATTGTTATATACCTGTTAATTTCCTTTTGTAAATAACTAAACTACAATTAATTTATATCGATAATACGAACCATGAATCTTTAAGGTTAACTAAGAGCCATTGTATTTGAATTAAAGTATTATATCCTAACAAAACGAAGCATCTAGAAGTAACGCTTTAATTAATGGAAAAATATATATAATAAATAATCCAAGGTGATTCTAGCAACCTTATGCAGCTCTTCCGACCTTTAGACTTATTACAAGATGGTCACGGTTCAGACCTTTAATTATAAAGGTAATTGTGTAAAATTAACCATCATCGTATAGGAAATTATTTTATCAAGTTTAGTTCCTGTGTAAGTTGTTATAATTGTACAGTTCAACTAATTAGTTGGCGTTTACTTATTTTGTGCTCTTCTGTTCTTATAATAAACCACAAAGACTCAGATGTAAAAGATCTGTTCAAAATTTAGATCTTTCACATTAATTAGCCAATTTCTTGAATAGGCCATATATTGTATATATTAACAAAATTTATAAAGTTATTAATAATACACTTAAAAATGGGTCGCCTTTGGGGGTAGAATACAATTTGTTTCGTCTGATTATCAATCGTATTCACATCGTAACGTCATTTAAAAAAGAAATACAATAAAATAGACTTAATAAAGGAAAATTTTTGTTGCATGATTGTTAACGATTTTAAGTGGCATTTGACAGCTTAGCATAGCTTCATTCAGCTTCAATCTGCTTTTGGTGGAGAAGCACGATGCAAGACAGTTATTTATAGCTGGTTTGCAGTATGCAATCTTCATCATAAAATACGTGATACTCGCCCCGACTTGGGAAATTTTAGTTTAGAAATATTTGCTAAAAACCCAAGAAAGAAGAAGATGACAAAATGAGGATAAATTTTATGAAAAATGGTAAAAGCAACAAGTTTTCAATCGATTTTCTTGTCATTAAGGTGCGTTAAGAAATAACATTTATTGAACTTTAACAAATTTCATTATGAGACGGTATGAATCCCGCCGGATCTAGTTCATTATATTCATAAATGCATTCACGCTATATTGATATTTATTATTTCAAAATAGAAATTGTCGATTTTTTTATTAGAATATCAATACAATGATTGTGAGTGCTAGATTTAATTAAAAATAAAAGACATATACTAAAAGATCAATGCTTTTCCTTTATTAATCGACTTCAAAATCGAAAAGGAGGATGTAAGTTCGACGGCGAAGTATGTAATTTAATATTAATAATTTAATATCAGTCGTTCGATGCCCAATGAGGCAGCAAAAGTTGTTGAATCTAAATTCTTTTCTTGTTCAAATTAAATAATTACTTATTTGTCTACTAGATAGCGCTACTTTGTTTCTACATTGCGATATGATTTTGCTTATTTATGTAAATGAATAAATATGTCTTCTAAAATCCATTTGTATTATTTGGCACATCGTTTTTTATCACCTAACTTCCAAACTCCTACATCTTTTACTGGTAGAATAAAGCAAGTTTAAATGCAATAAAACTGAATTAATTAATACATAGTTCCGATATTTATAATAACAATTTTAAAACCATCTGTCACGACCTGTAAATGACTTCCTCTTATTTGTTTTTTTTATCGCTATGCGTCTGTATTAGCTATAAGGTCTTTATAAAAAAAATATTTTTACGAAACTTGTGTTTTCTTTCCAGTTTCATAAATAATTATTCGGAAAGCATTCATTTCTTAATACGGTCATGTTATCGGAATAAAGTTATCGATGACATCATTGATAGATAATATAAATAGAGTCACTTAAAACATTGAGTGACATTTAAAACAAAAGTTCTTCTTGTTTTATTTTTATCAACTAATGGAAGTGGTCGTCAGTTGACGAAGCGTAAAGCCGGAACGTTTTATTTTTTTTGTTTGTTCCGTTTTTAGATATTTTAAGATACGAAAAAAGTTGTGTTCCACTTGAATATTTTCGAGTGCTTCAAATTAATCAATCGGAAACCGTGTTACTAATTCGGACAACAAGTAACCACCGCCATAAGAAGGCGTGCACACCAAAAATCTTTCGATCTATTTGTAGTAAATAATAATAACTTCGTAATAAGCGATAATTGTACATCATATTGCAATGACACTGAAAATGCCGAAATGTGAATTTGCAAAGTTTTGAAATTTAAAAGTTAGGTACTTCTGATATCCATTATTTTAGGGTTTCGTGCACAAAGGTTAAAATCTACTGTTTAAAATAAGACTGCAATCAAATATTGCTTCAAAAAATATTTTAAGTATAATTTATTGTAATTTAAACATGGTAAAATCAATATTTATCGAATAAATGGCTTCCATATTTGATGATTCCGTATTAGAGTATATAAAAGAAGTTTTTAATTCAAAAAGGTCGACTAACAAGTGCAACACATTAAAGCTCTTGATAGACATGCACTTGCTCACCGTTTTATAAAAAAAGAAGTTGCATCTCATAAAAAAAACTTGTCCACTATTACGATACAATTTCTTCATGCACAATGCATTTAGACGCACAGTAGTGCATCATTACGGGCCGTGTGGGAACTATGCGCTAGGAAGCGAGGTCAATGGCACCGGGTGCACTGCGATGACGACGTCACACGGATGCGCCTGCGCATTGCACAATCATGGCCGCCTCTGCGGTTTGAAAAAAGTTGGTCAACGGTTGTTTTTTTTTATCAATACAATTATTAAGTGATCAATCTGCGGTTTTTACTGTGACGAAATCATTTAGGTATATTAGAAACATGAGCATATCGTGAAGGTCACAGCTACGTCATTGCTGAGTCTATCTGTTTGAAAATTATCAACTCAAAAAATATGGAATAGATTTTTATGAGGCATCCACTAATAAGCGGTATAATTTATGTGAAAATTTTGAGAAAAAAAAACAATTAACTGGAAGAATATCCAAAATACCAATTGAAAAATAAACTTAAAAAGGCTATTCTTTAGGATCGTGAGGAAGCAATTTTATGAAGACTTACGCGACCGATCGTACCCAGGACATTTTTGGGGTAGGCCTTAGTCCAGCAGTGGGTGTTATCAGACTAATATGTATTATGATAATGAAATCTTTTAAAGTGATTTAGTGATATTAGTGATTTATATCGATTTGGCAACATATGTGAGCTTTTTTGTTTGAGTCCGTATCCGTCGTGCTTTTAGTTTCAGACGATTAAATGTGCATTAAAAAGGTGAAAACAGTATTAGTTAAAGATAAACTTAATATTTTTATATGCATAGCATACTAAAAACGATATTTCCACCAAAAAGGTCAAACGCTTCTTTGATAATAAAAAAAAATGTTGTCTAATCATCGTAGTATCTTCATCGGTTGATGTAGATTTTATTTTGTTTTATAAGTAGGAAAAATGCACAATCGACTATGCCTTGCCCATTTGTAACGAATGAGCCTCGATCGGCATATATTGTTATTGAATTATAGATAAAAACGTTCATAATAATTACATACATGTATAAACAAAAAAAAAACATTTTGTTACAGAGCGATGCCGCGGTGGAAGGGTATACTGAGGTAGCCGGCAGATGGCAGCAGTCAGCGCGGCGATGTACCGGCCTGGGGTCACCATAGACCCCTCATGCTACGCCACGCAGCAGGTAAGTTATTGCTTCCTAAGTTAAATTATAGATGGCGCTTTTTAACATTATAAAACATTTATGGCCAAAACATGGGCCAAATATTTTTAAAGATTCCTTTGATTTTATAAGAATGTAATTAACTACAATTGAAGTAGAAAAATAATCCTAATCTAGTGACATTCTTAAAAAGATAAATAAACATAGTTAATTCACGATTTGCATGACTGCGAGTAATAAATTAAAGATGACACTCCATGGGCAATTATTATCTTTTGATTGTAATAGTAAATAGATTAGAATCGAAATGTCGTGCAACGAAGACATAATTCTACCACAGAAAAGTAGTTAGAAATTCCAGTAATAAAGTTAGTCGAGTTTTCTTCATATAGGTCTCTGCTTCCGAAATAATTGTTCTTTATATAACAAGGTGGACTAAGAAACAATTTGGCTAAATAATGAAACAGTAAAACAAATAATTCGGACGAATATCCGGTTTGGTAAAAGTTAAACCGAATACTATGGTATTCGGTTATTCGGAGAAACTACTATTCGGCGCATCTCTAATTGAAAGTTAATTCACCGTTCCTTTAAAAAGTATGTATATATTCCCCATAAGCAGATAATAGTTATTTTTATACTAAATAGTTATTTAATAGAATAACTATAATTATCACTACTAAAGTGTATAATTCTTCTACATCTTCATTCATTAAAAAAAAATCAAATTAGAAAAAAAAATCTTTATTTACCTTATCTGATAAGACTTATTACTAATTACTGGAGTCCCCTTTTAAGCACGACAATAGGCATTGTCGTGCTTAAAAGGTATAAGTACCAGGAGACTCCGCTCTTCGATAACATGTTTTTTTTCAGAAATGTATTGTTTGCGGTTTTTTGAAGACATAATTTGATTTACTTGATAAATTTGTCTTAATTATATTTAATAAACATTCTTTTTAATGTTGTGTGTGTGTGTGTGTGTGTAAAGTATGATTAATTATCTATTTGATTGCAAGAGTATAATTCAGTATCGTTATAGTTTAGAATCTTTATCCATTTATTTAATGTATGTTTACATTCATTATAAGTTTTTGAGTATATTTGTAATTCTTTATTTATTTTATTATAAAGATAAGCTGATTGACTGTTGTATTGGAATCTAGCAAAAGCTGTTCTTGATTTAGGGATTTGCAAGACTGTGGTTTTTCTTCTTTTAATTGCTAATTTAGGGTCATAAGTTAGAGTTTTATTTCGCTTTAGTATTAGATTAACAATGTATAATTTCCGAATTGACAGTAGATTAGTTATTCGATAAAGGCTTTCAGTAGAAAAACGCCGGCTCTTGAAATACATGACCTTTAGCAATGATCTCTGGGCTCTTTCAACCTCAAGGAAGCGTGTTTTATATGTACTACCCCATACAGGTAAGCAGTATGTTATGATCGATTGAACTAATGCAATGTATATTTTGTTTAAAAGGTTGTTTGAAAAGTTTTTGTCTTCTGAGTCATTCTTTAGTACTATATATCTGAGAGACTTAAACATCCAAACAAATTTCCTGATTCTAGAAGATATTTGCTCTATTTGAGGGTACCAAGATAATCTCTGATCAATCATAACGCCTAAGTATTTTGTTTGGTTAACATTTTTGATGTACGGACAATCACATATTTCAACAATAAATTAGAACATCGTTATACATACTACTCATACTAAGTTAGCTGTTTTTTATTATATTTTTAATCATGCCGGCAGTTTCGAAGCCTATTTTACGGAAAAAATAAAAAAGACAAATCTTTCCCTTTTACAATAATAGTTTTGCTAAGACTATTTCGCCAACCATTTGGTACAGTACTGTTCAGATCATATCCATCTGACATTTTGCTTGTTCCCCTTAATTCGGTATAAACCAGAACACCAAACTCGCATCAGTCGGTAGCTATTTCGATTTGGGTTCTCTAGAAATAGACTAGAATAGACATCCGGTTTCTGAATTGAGTATTTAAATTTAAGCTTGTCTCAAACTGCACTTAAACAGGTTTTCGTTTCTGATTTTAGTTTTTTTTTTTTAACGATGATAGCAATTTGTTAAAAACTAGGACTTGTTGCCTTGTGATAAGTAAATACTTTAGTTATTGAGAATAACCATTTGTGATATTGTTCTTTGCTTAATTTAAAAACCGGCAGATAGCACATAAGAGTACGGGCACCAAAGATTAATAACATGTAATTAGTTCTGCACAAAGATACAATGTCCAAATGAGGAAGTTTTAAAAATAAAAGCATTAGTTCCCGAAATCAAACTAGATGCCGCAACGGCACGTTCTTGATTTCTCCATGACAACCTTTCCGGTTTTCTTGTAAGTTTAAAAGTAAATTAGTTTTCAAAACTCAATAAACAACTCATATTCTATTTGTATTTCTTCGTATTTGTATTGATATCTAAGTTTTGAACTTTTCAAATTTAAGTTTTTTTATATGTTAGTTAAAAGGAACGGAAATGACTGTCTTTGGTCTATTCGTTTCCTGCAAAAATCAACTTTTGCTAGAGTCGCCATCTAGTGGAGGTGCTTTTTAGTGCTTTGAAAAACTAAAAATGGGAAAACTACGTCATATTTCTAAGTTTTTTTGTTATAGTTAATAAGCGATACAAAAATATTACAAAGTTTAGCGTTTTTTAATAAGGATAACTATAAGTAAGTATGTGAGTCGCTCTATAGCCAAGGGCTTTACGGAGCACTTTAAAATCGTAGGTGGTTCGTGAGTAATGACATAATTTAAATAGATTTTGAAGAAAAATACGCTATCCCCTGTCCTTATTTATCTCATTGACGTTGTTGATGTCGTCTCGTTTTCTCTTAACGACCAGTCTTTTTTTGGAAGTTTTACCAACTATATTATGTGACATATTGAATTAGAAATCTTATTACGAGTATCTGAAATACCTACAACATTACTATTTTTTATATTGATTGAATTAATAGTTTTGAATTTATTTCAGAACATAGGCGAAAATTAAGCATTCCCGGTTGGGTCATATTTTTTCACTCCTTTACCAATATTTATGTAGTTGTCAAGGAAATCAAATTCTAGTAGCTAAGCAAGAACGGAAGACTATCCAAAAATCTTCATAAGAAACTATGAATAGATAAAGACCTTATTATTCACGATAAAAGGTTCGAAATTAAATGGTATGAACAGAAATCTTTAATTTATGATTTCAGTAGATACGTAATAAATACAAACAGATATTTCGTCCACGTCAACCGTATTTCTAATTTGGAACTCTAATATAAGACAAATTATGTTATACTAGATCAAAGGTTATTTTGTGAGAGTTGCTTGGAAAGAAAAATACTTTTACTGTTAGTTGCGAGTAAATAATATCTTATTAATATATTTTTGTCAGACTGTCTTCAGTCCACATTTTTTAATACAAAAACCTACTATAATGAGAATAGAATGATTGATTTAGTTAAACACAATCCTATTAGCAAAATTTATATTTGTTTGTTTATATCAAAGCTCAATTCTATGTTACATTAAAACCAACAGAACATTGAAGAAATGCAATGAAGAATCAACTATATATCATAAGGGCATTAATCCATTGCGCTATTTCAATTTGAAATAAATTCAACGTTCGACAGTTTGTATAACCCACTAGACAGGGTGGCTATTTTTTTTTAAATTATCCAGTACATACATAACTTTATTAAGAATTTTGAAATTCGAACAGCTAATATGGTCCGATTGTTGTTATTTGTTTGTTTAATGGTCACGACAAAAAAGTATATTATTGGACTAAGAATAAGGCTGAATTTAAATCCTTTTTGAATTTGTACAACGTTTTAAAAATACAGCATGAAATTGTTCAAAATTGTCGTTTCCAAATTTTGCGACCGCGAAAGTAATAAAATAACAACCAGTTTCTGTCTGCTTTTTTTTACGTTTTGCCGATGTGACTTCAAAACGCATGCACTCGCACCTACGAGTACAAAACGCGTGTACGCTGTGCAAGTGGATTATAGCGCTAAAATATAAAGCGCATTTTCATAGATTTATAGAGAAAACAATTCACAAAAATTCACATTGGCACAAAGTTATCGTGTCAAAGGGGTTTTAGATGACGGCAGGTGGCTGGCAAAGGTGTGGAAATAAAACTCTGTGAATGAAAGCACAGTTTTGTTCCTTTTTTTAGCAAAAATATAGTGAACTGGAAAGCGAAAAAACGCTAGCCTCTATAGCACAAACGAGTCAGAAATAAAAAGCGGCCCTCGAGCGTTTTTGTTTATTCGAAAAATACATACATTTTGAGACTATTTCATAAATTCTAACAATGAGTTTATGAAGTAATAAGTTTTGTTTATAAGGTTAGTAGTCATATTAGAAATCTAGACTACATCTAAAGCCTCTAGCAAGAGGGTAACGAGTTATTTATGTACGTAACTTAGTAATATAACGTGCTATTTTAATCCATTACTTGAACTTCAAAGCTCCGACCGACGGGTAAGGAGCTTCAATATCCCAGGCATCTGGAGATTTCCACTACCAATGTATGCGTATTAAGGTCGTATCTGAGAGATAATCACTTGCTCTCTAAGCTTTAATACAGCTTTGACCGAGTTCCATTATTCTGCAATAGGAATCAACCAAAAATGTACTAAATTAATGTTGAAAGGAATAATTACTAGCCATGACTTCGTCATTAAATTATAATCTTTTTCTGTATCGTCGAGGAAATTCTTATGGCACTGGCCATGTTAACTGAACAGCAACAGGGGGTGTGTGAGACTCTGGCAGGAAGCTGTTCCGTGGGTCCCCAGAGGCTTACCTGCTCGTAAATTACAGCCTATATCAACCTATGTACGATGCAGTTTTTCACAGGAGATTTTTTTTTAAATAAGTCCATTAGTTAAGAAACCGTTTTAATGCAAACAAAATACATAATTACATAAGGGTCAACACCACTTAATCTGAACATGTGCTGACTGATACCATAGCTTAAGTTTACATAA